ACCTTCCTCATCTTTTCTAACATACTTGAGCCCACTACTACAGTTCCTGTGTCAATCCATCTGGTTGATGGTTTTCTTCTCTTTTACTTACCTTCCATTTTTCCCCCCCTGTTTATGTCCCTTTCCAAGGAACAGTCTCTTCTAACAACTAGCTCAAAGTATGTGAGATGAAGCTTCATCCTTGTCTCTAAGGAGCACTCTGGCTGCACCTCTTATCTCTCCCCAACATGTTTGTTCCTTCAGCAGTACATGGATTATTCTCTATTTTTCTCAACTCAAAGGCCAATTTTTCTTCTGCCATCTTTATTCATTGTCCAATTCTCAGACATAGTAATTGGAAAAAACCATGGCCTGAACCAGGAGCACCTTGGTCTTCAAACTGTGTTATCATTGACTCCTCAGTATTTTGGAGACTTTTACAACAGCACACTTTTTCATCACAATATGTCTTTTGATTTCTTGACTGCTAGTGCCAGAAGTGTTGATTGTGGTTCCCCGTAAGATGAAATCATTGATAATTTCAATCTTTTCTCTATCATGATGTTACCTATCAGTCCAGTGGTGAAGATTTTTGTCTTCTTGTTGTTGAGATGTAATCCACATTGAAGGCTATAGTCTTTTATCTTCAGTAGCAAGTGCTTTAAGTCCTACTCATTTTCAGCAAGCAAGGTTGTATCATTTGCATAATTCAGGTTGCTGAAGTCTTCTTCCTATCCTGATGCCACATTTTTCTTCATATACCAGCTTCTCGAGACGTATTTTTTTCCTTTAAAAAAAGGTATCATCTCACCAGCAAGTATAGCCATGTTCAAACAACTAATACTGGTTAGAGTGTGGAGAAATTGGAATTCTCATACACTTTTTGTGGGAATATAAAATAAAGCAAAAAAGAAAAAATAGAACAACCACTATGGAAGGCCGTTTAGAGCTTCTTCAGTATGCTGTGTATAGAAATACCATTTGATCCAGCAATCTATCAAATACATATCCCAAAGACATTGGGTTTGTGACACAAACCAGCAACATACACACACCCATGTTTATTGCAGTATTATTTACAGTAGGAGAGCTAGAAATAGCCCAAATGTCCATCAACAGATAAATGGCTAAAGTAACTGTCATACACTGGAAAATTTAAACATCATTAAGAAATTATCAAGAATTTGTGGAATACTGCACAACATGGATAGATTTAGAACAAATTATGCTCAATGACATCAGTCAGTCACAAAAGGGAAATTATGGTACAGAACCATTATTATAAAGAGAAGGAAAGGTTTACATGCAGAATTGTGATGGCGATGCAATATTATGGGAAAGAAGAGTGAGGGAAGTAAAGAGTAATGGATAGAGAGTTGGGTGAAGGGGAAAGCCATACACAGTAAGTGGTTTATTAGACCTGTAATTAATTACATAACTCAATAGTAAGTAATGCTATAAAACAAAATGTCTTCGAACTATTGTATTAAAAACCAGTATAACTGGTAAACCTTCACTCAGTGTTTTTTTTTTTCTTTCTTCAAAGTAAGGGGCTCAGGGAAAGTGAAAAAAATTATCACTTTTTGTTTTGAAGGCTAAAAGATCTCACTGAATATAAAGGCAAAAGAATGGCCTACACAAAACCAGAGGCTATCAGACCACAGTATGTGGAGTATTTAGGTAAAAGTGAAATGTACAGGATGAGGTTGAAATAAGCATGCATAGCAAGACTACGATAAAACTATTCCATCTGGAATAAACTTGGGGAAAGCATCAGTAAAATTGTACAGAAATGCTTTAATTACCTAAAGTGTTAGTTTACCAATAAAACTATGTTTACTTGAGAAAGGTAGAAACACATTTTCAAGGAAATCAACCAACTCAAAAGTGTTTCTGTGTATTGTAGTGGCACTTTGAGATCATGGAGTCATTTTTTAAAAATAGGTCTACAATTATGAAAACTCAAATACTTTATTTCCCCAGTAAAATTTTACTTGTACAACAGAATACCTACAAGTCACAGTTATGATCAGATTTTGGCTCCCAAGTAAAATGAAGAGTGAAGTGGCAAATAAAAGGAAAAGAGGATCTTCCTGAGATAACTGGGTGAGAGGTGGAATGTGGAGAATGAGGATACAGGATGTGTAAGTATGTGATGACTATAACTCAAATCATTGCCATCAAGTTAAAATCAGCTCATAGCTGATCCTCTGTTTGTTTTCCAAGACTGTAAAGCGTTAGGAATGAAATCCTCATCTTTCTTCCACACAATTTCTAGGGGATTCAAACTATCAGAGGCAGAGTCTTTCAGTTAGCAATGTAACACCCTACAGACTACACCATCAGAGTTCTCTAGTATATATGGTGGGAAAGTTTTCATTCACCAGAATTATTCATGGGAAAACATTATAGATTTATTGGAAGATTCTTTCTGGGATATGTGATATGATACGCCCTCATTCTCAAATTCAGTGAAAGTCACTAAATTGCCTTTTGTTTGGAAGAGAGAACTTTTTAAAGATCTTTCTTTTTGCTGAGTACAACAATTAAAGATGTAATTGAGCTGAGGACTAAATATCAGGCAAGGGGAAAAAAGGAGTTGAGGCTGAGCACCATGATGAGAAAAGAGAAAAATATTTATCACAGTTTTGTCAACAGAGATTTTTAAAAATAAAGTATACAAGAAGTACAATGTCAACCCCCTTTCCCTCCTCTTACATGGCATCTTTAGTAAAATCTAAATTACTCATGATGTGGTTTCTTTGCTAGGGGCTTAAGAGGTGCCGAGTTCTAAGTTAAGGCTAGCAAGGGGTGAACATAGAAATATGCAAATATAGGAAACAGAAGGTAAAATGATAAGTGACATTCAGGCTTCATGAAATGAAAAAATTATGGCTGGGTACAATGAATAAAAGGACTGAGCACACATATTCATAACCATCCTAAGGAAAGACAAAAGTCAAAGAACTTGCCTTACTAAGAGTATAACTGCTAGGAGCAGGAGAACCTGGAAGAATATTAAAATAATATGTAATCAATTGTTCACGTATTATAGCCCTTATTCAAATCATAGATAGGAATGTGACAAAATACCTGCATTGTGTAAAGAATAAATCCAGTTTATGGACTTCAGCTGTGCCTTGTCATATTTTAAGACATGACTTAAATCATGTTAGTTACAAACTAATGAACATTTCACAGACGCATTTAAATAAATCTTGTCCAAAACAGAACATAGCAATCAAGAACAGACTTGGTCTGCTCTAACATTTATCTACTCTGTGATAATAAGCTAATGAACACCCACATTCTGTTCTTGCTTCAGTTTCCTTACCTTTTAAATGAGGCAATCACATCGCTAATGGTTACCAAACTACATAAATAAAGGTCATTCCACTGAGTACTTATTACAGGTTAATTTTATGATATGCAAATTATACTTCTAAAAATCAGTTTGAGATTGTGCCCTCATCCTAGAAATCCTATGAAAAAATCCAATATATACAAATTCTATGGCACTGTGCCTGGCACACAGTAAACACTCAAAAATTATTAGTGATTAGTTCTAAATAGAAAGATCCGAGAGCACTGAAAGCATATAGAATTCTTTTTAAAATCAAAAAACTATGGGTCTGAATGAAACATCAGAGATTAAGTCCAATTCTCATTTAACAGATGACAAAATTAGGGACCAGGCAGGTTAAGTGCCTAATTCAAGTTGAAGCTCTTAGACACTAGGGCTGCTGGAATTCATAGTAGAATCCTCACTACTCACCCTATACCTCAGAATCAGGGACAGATGAAAAAATTGGGGATGTGTTTTCGCCAATATTTCACACTAGTTCATTTCCAACCTCTGCTGAGAATTTTCCTTTCCACTGTTGATACAGAATTGGAAGATCCCCTATGTAGGTTCCTTTTCAGTAGTTTTAAATGGAAAAAACCCTCAAATTTATTGCCATTCAGTCAAAACTGACTGATAGCTGACCCTGCAGTATATTTTCACAGGCTGTAAATTACATGGAAGGAGACTGCCCATCTTTCTTCCTCAGAGTCACTATTAGATTCAAACTTCTAGAGGTTTTTGGGTTGACGCACAACCCCCCATACCATGCTTCCATCCAGTATAAATGGGTTAAAATGGAATAATAAAAAAAATCTTTGAAAATCTGGTTTCCTCACAGAAGAAGTAGCATATAGGGAAAGTGAAAAATGGACAGATATCAAAGAGAATTCCATGGTCATGGGGAATTCCAAGGTCAGAAGGGGCTGTTACATCGTGGGATATCTTCACCAGGGCCCCCAGCAGCAGGGTCTGGGTCATGAAAGCTTAAATGCTTTAACAAGGCGAGCCAAGTGCCTAAAGAAGGTGAAACTACAATCTTTCTGACATCTTGCCATGGGATTTCTCAGCAGTGGCAAAAGCTGGGGACAAAAGTCTTGAGACCAGCAGAGTTCTCAAGAGCAGTTAGTCTGAACAGCCTTGAAGCAGCACAGCTGCTAAAGAGCTGCTTCTATCTACCACTAAGGAGTTTGACTTCACTGTTATTTATTCCCTGGCCTTATGTAATCAGGCTTTCTAAATTATAAGAGTCTTCACTTACAATCTTATAAATTACCCTCCATGATGGTACCCTGTTCAAATGAATGAGGGAACTTTGCAGGAAACGTGAAATGGCCCAAGATTCCTACTTCAGTATTGCTGCTATATTCTAAAGAAATTTAACAGTAAGATTTTTGAAGCCAATATCCAATGCTAAAAAGTGAACAAAAAATATGTGTACTCTGGACCTAGACTTTGTGATATTTCAAGGGATACCATCCAATGAGTCAGCTATGTCATTCTTAGGAAGTGGTGGAATCATATTCCCCTCATTTTTCCTGAGAAAGAACAATTTTCTTCAGATGGCTAGTACAGATTCCACTGGAGAAGTGAGAGAGAGAGGAAAACTTAAGCCCTGAAAAGAGTATTTATGATTTAACTTAGTACACTGAAACGTCTCAGTGAATAGTTCATAAAAGTGCATCATGCTTTTCAACCAATTGTTTAAATTAAAATCTAAAGATAAGTTAGTCTGTCTACTCATTTGTTCTGAGAACCTGGGGTGGGCACTATGAACAAATTATTACATTTAAAGCATTTTCACAGAAAGTTTTCCTATTTTGAAGATCATTCCAAACAATGAACACTCTGATGTCGGAGGAGGTGAGAGCTCCGACTAAATGTCTTCTGACATTCTTGACATTCATAGGGCTTCTCTCCAGTGTGAATTCTCTGATGTATGATAAGCTGGGAATGCTGACTGAATGTTTTGTCACATTCATCACATTCATAAGGCTTCTCCCCAATGTGAATTTTCTGATGGAGAAGCAGTTCAGAGTTATTCCAAAAGGTTCTTGCACATTCATTACACTGATGGGGTTTCTCTCCAGTATGAATTCTCTGATGGACAATAAGGTGAGAGGTCCGTCTGAAAGCCTTTCCACATTCAAAACATTCATAGGGTTTTTCTCCAGTATGAATTCTTTGATGTCTAAGAAGTTCTGAGTTGCCCCTGAAGGCCTTCCCACATTCCTTACATGCATAGGGCTTCTCTCCAGTATGGATTCTAATATGTCTAATAATTTCTGAGTTCTGCCCAAAAGTTTTCCCACATTCATTACATTCATAAGGTTTGTCCCCTGTATGAATCCTTTGATGCCGGATAAGTTCAGAACTCTGACCAAACCCTTTCCCACATTCATTACACAGATATGGTTTCTCTCCAGTATGAATTTTCTGATGTCTTATAAGGCCTGAGCTGTGCTTGAAGGCTTTGCCACACTCACTGCATTCATGGTATCTTTCTTCAGTATGAATTCTCTGATGCTGAATAAGCTGTGAGCTAACCCTAAAGGTCTTCCCACATTCATTACATTCATAAGGTTTCTCTCCAGTGTGGATTCTCTCATGTAAAATAAGGGCTGAATTCTGACTAAAGGCTTTACCGCATTCTTCACATTTATATGGTCTTTCTCCAGTATGAATTCTATGATGATGGATGAGATGTGAACTTTGAATAAAGGCCTTTCCACATTCATTACAAGCAAAGGGTTTCTCTCCAGCATGAATTCTCAGGTGCCTTCGAAGGCTTGAGTTTGTTCCAAATGTCTTCCCACATTCTTTGCATTCAAAAGGTTTTTCTCCACTGTGAACTCTCATATGCTGTATAAGATGGGAGTTCTGATTAAAGGCTTTCCCACACTCTTTACATGTATGAGGCTTTTCTCCCAAAGTTCTCTGTGTTTTGTTAGGTTCTGAATTCTCTATGACATTTTGACCAGAGGTAGTAAATATACTAAATCCTTCTATTGTAGTTTCTCCCTGATGTGTAACCAAATTTGGACTGGGACTACAGTTTCTCTCATTCTTATTATACTCTTGATCTTTCTCATTTGATGGTGATTTCTTAAAGATAATCAATTCTGATACAAAGTCTCTCTCCTGAGGAGATAATTGTTCTACAATTTCTTCTGTGGACTCTCTCAAATGTTTCTCCAATGTGTGTTCTTCACATACTGCTCCAATCGTATGACCCTTGTAAATGACCTTTGGAAGTTTTTCTAACATTGTCCCTTGTGGGTCATATTCTTCAGAGATTTTTTCCTTGAGAATCACCTTATTCTCAGTCCCCATTTCAGAATCTGAAATGAGAGAAGGGAAGTCTGTAAGTGGCTGGATTGTACCTAAGTTAATGCCTAGAGTATGAAACTTTGTCATGTTTCTGACACCATTCAAAAATAACCAAAGTAAAGTTTAATAGGCCAGCAAGCAATAACTTTTTGGAGAGAATGTGGAAAGATAAGTATTCTCATACAATTATGGTGGGATTGTTTCCTCAGAAAGCTGAACATAGAAATTCCATGTGACCCAGCTATTCCACTGCTAGGAATATACCCTAAGAAAATTAGAACTGAGACTCAAACACAGATTTGTACACCAGTATTCATAGCAGCATTATTCATCATTATAAGAACATGGAAATAACCCAAATGTCCAAACAATCAAATGGATTGAGAAATTGTGGTACATTCTCACTATGTACTACAGAGTACTCAGGAACAATGATTTTGAAAATTACTTCATAACTTGGGAGAGACTGGAGGGCATTATACTGAGTGAACTAACTCAGTCTCATAAGGTTAAATACTGCATTTCACCACTATTGTAAAAATAGAAGGATTACTAGTAAAACATGTATGTGTACCCAAGGCAGGGAGGGATAAGAAGAGAGGGGTGAGGGAGGGAAGGGCAGAAATAGGGTCACATAGCTTGGTTGGTGGAAGGAGGGGGTGGGTAAACTAAATGGGGATAATCCAGCAGGGATCTGGAAAAGTAGGGTAATGGTAGGCATGGTTCAACAGCAATTAATTTTATAAAACATAATGAATGAAGGAAAGTGTGAAACACAATGTATACAAACTTTGTATGTAACCAATGTAACTTTTTAAAATTGTATTTAATACTTTATCATATGACTTAAAAATAAACAGATCTCCAAATGATAAAAAAAAAATAGCCAAGATTTAACAGGATGCTGTTAAATGGAGATTTAGAATTACTGCACACATGGTGAACAAAGAACAAATACCCACTAAAAAGTCTGAAAGGAAGATTTAAGGATAAAACTAGGGAATGGATCATACAAGGAGATGTTGATAAGGGTTCTGTAATACTAACAGCAAGCTTCAATGGAACCTGAGGTTGGTAAGGCAAACATTTATGGGAAATCATACTCACAATAGTAATAGATGGGGATAGGGAAAAGATTGGGAGAAGGGTTAAAACTAGCAAGTTACATTATGCTGAGCAAAAAAGTCAGTTCTAAAAGGACAAATACTACTCAAACAGATGAGGGAAAGAACTGCTTAAAAGGAATACATGATTAGGTATTATTTGCATGGCAAGAGTCCAGAATAAGAGCTGCATAGTAAAGTGGACTGGAGTGGGGATTACACATCAATGAAGGAATTTCTTTTCCAAGAGAAAAGCGAACTGAGGGTGGGGTGGGCAAGAAGAAAAATGTGCAACAATGAATGAATGGAAATCCAAGTTCTCTATAAACTGTCATTAAAATCTCTATTAAAAAGAGACAAATAATTTATCACATCATTTATATGAATAAGCAAATACGGGGTAGAAAAAAGAATAACAAACAGTTTTTGCTTAAGAGAGTAGTGAGTTTGTTTAATGATGGTAAACAGTTTGAAAAAGGACAGCAAGATTAGTGGCAAAACTTGAAGAATCAATTCAGGTCGTCCTCAGTTTTAGCAAGCAGGGTTGTGTTATCTGCATAACACAGGTTGCTGATGACTCTTCCACCAATCCTGCTACTATAGCTTTATCAAAAGTTTTAATATCTGACAGTTATCTCTCATTAGTCTTCTGTTTACTCTTCCCCATCTATCATATTTTTCAAGTAAATTTTAGTATAATTTAATAAAATTATCCTGTTATTGTTTTTATATCCATTTTCATATGGGGTAGGGTGTGTGTTGGTTGTGGTTTGTTTTTTTTTTCAGTTAGTGACATGTTTTTCTTACCATATTTTCCTACCAATTTTAACTTATAAACAAATATAGCAATGCTGTTCACTTTTACATACTAATTTTGTAATCAGCCCCTTATAGACTTTAATACCTTTACAGATCTTAATATCTATAATTTTTTAAATTGTTAAAACAATGTGGCATCAGGACTGGAGGTAGACTCATCAATAATCTGTATTATGTGAATGGCACAACCCTATTTGCTGAAACAAGGACCTGAAGTGCTTGTTGCAGAAGGTCAAGGACTGCAGCCTTCGATATGGATTGAAGCTCAACATCAAGAAAACAAAGATTCTCACCAGTGGACTAATTGGCACTATCATGATAGATGGTAAAGATATTTAGATTGTCAACAGCTTTAGCTTGCTTGGCTCCACAATCAACACTCTTGGTACCAGCAGCCAGGAAATTAAAAGACACATTGCACAGAGAAAGTCTGCTGTCAGAGACTTCTCCAAAGCACTGAAGAGCAACAATGTCAGTCTGGAGACTAAGGTGTGCATGACTCAGGCCATGGTCTTTGCAATTACTTGCTATGCATCAGAAAGCCGGGCAATAACTAGGGATTATAGAAGGAGAATTGATACCTTTGAGCTGTGGTACTGGAGAAGAATATAGAATATACCATGGACTGCTAAGAGAATAAACAGGTTCATCCTAGAGAGGGTGAGAACAGGCTGCTCCTTGGAGGCAAGGATTCTGAAGCTTGGTCTGACACACTTTGGACATGTTGTAAAGAGGGGCAAGTCTTTGGAGAGAGAGGTCATGCTTGAGCGAGTGGAGGTCACAGTGCAAGAGAAGACCCTCGATAAGATGGGTTGATTCTATGACTGGGGTAATGGGGCTAGGTGTGTCAGACAATAAGATAGGCACAGGATAGAGCAGGTTTTAGGGCTGCTGTACTTAGGGTTGCTGTGAGTCACAGGCAACTCAACGGCAAATAACAAGAAGACACTAAAAAATATTTCTAATTGTCTTATCCAGTATCCATATTTCCCCACCTCCATATCAACAGAATAATGGATGTCTTTTTTTTATGGCAATGTTGTTGTTTTTGTTAGGTGCTGCTGAGTCAAGTATGACTCACAGTGTCATACTATGAAAAACAGACCTGAACACTCTCCTATCCTGTGCCATCCTCATCTCTGATCACTTGAGCCTCCATCTCGTTAAGGGTCTTCTCTCTTTAGCTAACACTCCACAGTTTGAAGTATGATGTCCCTTTCCAGGCAAGACCCTTGCAATAAACTTGGTTAACTGTTTTGTGCAGCTAGGTTTTGTCCTGTGCCTGTGCTTTGGCCAATGAAACTATGAGATGCAAATGAACACATATGAGACTCCTGGGAAGGCTTTATTTAAATTTTTTTTGGGGGGGAAGGCTTCTTAATGAAGCATTTCGTCACCCTTTTCTTCTTCTCCTGTGAATGGAAGAAGCATGATATGCTGATATGCCTGAACCATGATGCTGGTATGCCTGAAGCATGATACCCAGCATGCCTTAGGGTTGAGGATCAACAAATCATGGATGTTTAATGACTCCATGGACCTGCCTGTCAGATCAGCTGTGGAACTCCTGACTCTGTTTTATCTTGAGAAATAAACTCCTAAACTTGCTTAAGCTATTGTTCTTCTATTATATGTACTCAAATCTACTAGTTGATATAACAGCACCAGAGATTTGGCAGTCCCCATCAGAGAAGTAGGTAGGGTCCAGATTCCGAGAAAATGAGCCTGACCTCTGCACAAATGGTAAACAATCTATAGCTAATACTCGCATAGGATAAGGTATTTGTGCGCTACCATACATCTGAGAAATACAATCCTCAAGGTAGTAAAAGTGTTAACTAGAAGATGATTCTCAAGGCAGAATAGGCGGTTAACAGAACTTCATCCTGCAAACTAGAGAGTCATGTTTTTAAGTCAAGTTTTTAAGCCAAGAAATTATATGATCCATATTCATACTGGCATTTCATGTTGATGCTAGTATGCATCATACTATCAGTATATAGTCATTTAGTGGCTAGCCTAGAAATCAGCAAGCTAAATTAGAAAGCAGGAAGATCAGTGACAAGACTAATATAAGTCAAATGGTAATAAAATCTGATCAGAAAAATAAAATAATAGGGATAAAGAAGAGTTTGACTGGATAAATATTTATGGGGTCAGTTTCAGCAAGACCTAGCAACTTACTAGGTAAAGATATAAAGTAAAGGAAGAAGCCAAAGATGGCACCCAAATCTTTTATTTGAGGGATGATAACTGAACGGATGGTAGTACCAGTAATTGAAATTAAGACTGTGCTGTGTGTCCCAGGAGGCCAACGTGTATGGCATACATCAATAGGCTTTCAGGTGTATTCCATCAGTGTGTAGCACCAGTAAACTAGAATTAAGGAAGAAAGTGAAGAGAAGGTATTTCCTTTCCTAGTTCTTTCTTAAGAGCTAGCGTTGGATTGGTGGTATCCCTCAATAGGTCATTAATACTTAGGGGTATAACTCAAGGGTAGAGCATTTGACTGCAAAAAGTCTGTTTGATCTAACCTCTCCTATCTCTTTCCCCTTCAGGGCCAGGGGCGGTAATCATTTGGCAGAAGTCAACCCGACGTTCCTCAAGACCTTACCTACATCTTCATCATTTATAATTAAGCCCATTCTAAAGAAATCCTCTTTTTTTAAATTTTTATTTATTTGTTTAATTTGGTTTACTGTCAAATTGGATCCGACTGGCACAGGAGGAGTTTTACCATCCTTCTCGAGTGGAGCATCTGGTGCATTCAAACTGAACACCTTCGGGATTGCAGTGCAGCTTCTTGCCTCTAGGCCACCAGAGCTCCCTATAAATTCTCTTAATTAAGTGAACTATTTCCTACTGGGACTCTAACAAATAGAAAAAAGGTGTAGGTGTAGCAAAGAAGCCTGCCAAGAAGAAAAACAGTGGATAGTTAAATAAGAGAACCAGAATACAGTGTCACTGAAGTCAGTGGGACAGTGGCAGAGGGCATTAACAAATGTTAAATGAAATTAATTTAATAATAATTAAATTCCAACTACTCATATGCAAGTTCAAGCTGACACTGAGGAAAATTAAAC